TACTTAGTTTAATAAATTATTACTTAGTTTAATGAATTATTACTTAGTTTAATGAATTATTACTTAGTTTAATGAATTGTTACTTAGTTTAATAAATTATTACTTAGTTTAATGAATTATTACTTAGTTTAATAAATTATTACTTAGTTTAATGAATTATAACTTAGTTTAATGAATTATAACTTAGTTTAATGAATTATTACTTAGTTTAATGAATTATAACTTAGTTTAATGAATTATAACTTAGTTTAATGAATTATTACTTAGTTTAATAAATTATTACTTAGTTTAATGAATTATAACTTTGTTAAATGAATTATTACTTAGTTTAATAAATTATTACTTAGTTTAATGAATTATTACTTAGTTTAATGAATTATTACTTAGTTTAATAAATTATTACTTAGTTTAATAAATCATTACTTAGTTTAATGAATTATTACTTAGTTTAATAAATTATTACTTAGTTTAATGAATTATTACTTAGTTTAATAAATTATTACTTAGTTTAATAAATTATTACTTAGTTTAATGAATTATTACTTAGTTTAATGAATTATTACTTAGTTTAATGAATTATTACTTAGTTTAATGAATTATTACTTAGTTTTATCATTTTATTGGATTATAGAGGGATTCAGGTGTATAGTTTTCACACCAGGCAATTTAACAAAGTTTAAAAATTTCAATATTTTGGTCACCTTAGAGGTACTATATTTCAAGGCGGGAAATCGGAACCGTAGAGCAATGCGTCAGAACCTCGCGAAGCCTGTGGATGTAGTTATTCATTGATTTTCTGTGTTTTATTCAATTGTCTCATCTTTTACTATTCCATAACAAACTCGTAATAATTCTACAGGCTAAAATACCTAAAATTTAATTGAGTGTTTGTATTAAAGTTAGTTCAAATTTTATCTACTTTGTGTCGAAACTGTTGAGAGTTATCAGCAAATTTCTACGCAAGATAATACTTTTTAGGTTGCAAATTTTTATATGGACCTATGATCTGTAACATCTCTTCACATCGTACAGGGACTGTACAGAGGTTTTCTAAAAATATTTATTTCGTGAAGGGTCTTATGTGATAAAGCATAATTTGTGATTAGTGATGTCATCAAACACCTAGTTTTATTAGAATTGCAGGAACCATAGACGTTTTATTGAAAATTGGAATGGTGTAAATTGATGCTATCAGTTTCCCTGATACATATAAAAAAATTATGAAAAAC